CTTTTCAAACAGGGTGGTTGACTTTTGGAATGAACTGCCTTCAAGGTTGGTGGAGGCAGAAAATTTAATTGACTTCAAGAAAAGATTGTATGAATACATGAGTAGTAAGGGGTGGTTATAGTTGGGAGCTGGAAAGAACATCGTTGATAAGCTAATAAGTTTCTTTTTTGTTCCTTTAAAATTTTATTATTATTATTTTTATATAAACGATCCAAATCTTAGTTTAACATCAACGATGTGGCCATATGGACGAGTATGTGACTCCTTCGATAGCAACTACAAATTTACAGCATGTTCTAAATCAAGTTGTTAAAAATACAGGATAAAAATATATGTTCCCAAAACAAACCTTCTGTCCTCAAAATCGATTAAAACACTAAAAAATCCTCCCGAAATATACTTGAACGGAGCTCTTCTAAATGTCGTCACATCGGCAAAATTTCTAGGTATAACTTATGAATAATCATATTACTCAAATTAGGAATAAGGCATGGCAACGACCAAACTACATTAAAAGATTAACAGGTAAAAACACAGGATCTACACCAGAAAACATAATCAAAATTTACAAACAATACGTTAGACCGGTAATGGAATATTACTATCCTGCATGGACTAATGTAGCACCAACACACATAAAGAAATTACAGACAATACAGAACGGAATATTCACCACAGCCTACAGAGTACAAAGATCAACAAATATTAATTTCATGCATAAATATGCAAACACTAAACCAATCAAAAACAAACTAATAAATTGCTCGTTCCAATACTTTGATAAAAATTAATATAAAAACGACTTATTAACCGACATAGATTGCTGTATCATACATGATGATGATAGCTCTAAGTATCTCTCAATGTTTACCATAAGAAGAAGTCCACCTGCACTAGATCTTAACATATCGCTAAGAATTAAGTATGACTTGTGTATTTAAAAGGATTTTTATGTGTGAAATACACGATTGATAATTATTTCAAGTGAAAAAAGTGACTTTTTGCTATGGAACTGTTTCCGAGTGTATACGATCAAATGAAGAGAAATATTCAATATGGAACCGCATTGCAAGTATATACGTCCAAATTAAGAGAAATAGTAAAATAGCACTAAATGCTATAGATAGTGTATTCATGTACATGGTCCTGAAGAGTTCTACATTAGTGTTCAAGCCCTGATTTCTTGGATAACTTCGTGTCATTTCGCAGTTTATAAACAACAAGCTGAAATACTCGTTAACTGACGGGGAATGTTTAAACTTAATTAAAATAATGTAAATTTAACAGGAACCATATATTTCAAAGTAATAACTTGAACATAAACTTTATCTCAGAATTTTAAAATCATAACAAAACTTCTTC